TTCTTGATTTTCATATTTAGGCATTCTTCGCGACCAGTGATGACCATTATTAATAATTACTCCCTTATACACTCTTGTAAATGTTTGATTTCCTTGTTTAAATTCAACAAGATATCCTGTGGAATTCTGTTGCTCAGAAATTCTTGTCAATTCCGTGTTGAGTGACAATCGCTCATTAATTCGATAATGTTTACAATAATCCAGGAAATAGTCCAACATTTGTTTGGCAGATGGAAAATCTGGATACCAAGAAGGCATTGGGTAATCTTTCATTTCAGTTGTTTTTCTGCTACTAATAATGTGAACCGTTTCGTAGACTCCAGAAAACCAATTTCCTCCAATTTGATTATTTGCCTCTGTAATGTCAAGTTTTCAAAATAATTGAAATTTGTCAATGCACACACGGAATGAACGAAATAATCAAAATATTCACACCATTATTGATGTGAACATCATCCTCCATTAAAATCAATATATATTAATCAATCACACACACACATACCAACCACATCAAATGGAATGCCATATCGAGTGAGTGCAGCACTGGTTGACAAGCCACTGAAACCACATCCGACGATTAAAATCTTCTTTTCAGTCTTTTCGAAAGGTTTGTCGCAAAAGATTTCATCATACTTTTCAATGTCGTATTGATATTTAAATTCGGAGGTAGGACAATTCACAGGATCGGTCCAGTAAAAGACATAGTCTGTGTTGAATACCACAAAGAGAGCAATGAAGAGAAGAGAGAGAAGGAGAAGCCAAATCCAGAGAGACATTTTTTTTTCTTTCGCTCGTTAGATTAGTTCCAATTCAAGCCATGTTGCGATCGTGAGAGCTTCGAATGTCAAGTGGTCACAACTTGTCGCCAGAAAGGTCAAGTGCATACGACCATCGCTCTTGGTCCATTGTCATTCGCACGTGTTTCAAAATTGAATGCGTAAAAAGTCTTTGCTGCAAGGTGAATGAATTAAATGTTGAACATGATTTATTGCTAAAATGTGTTTGAATGGAGTTTTTCAAAACGTTTGTTGTGAATTTGTAAAAACTGAATGTGAACGATTTAGTTTTCCTCTTCCTCAAAGTCGTCAGTGTCATCACCAAAATCTCCCATTTCGTACAAGTTCAAATGCTTTGAGGCAGCATATTCTCTATCCTCTTCATAGGAGGCCAATAAATTCTTGAAATGTCTTTGAAGAACTGGTCTGTCAATGAATGCCAAACCACTTCGCACAATTTGAGAGTTGATGGTGTCTTGATTCTTGGCACCCTTTGGTTGCAA